TGTCATTCCTAAGTGTAACACCCAGGCCTCTACACACACACACCCACACACATGCACACACCACACCCCCCCCCACACACACACACACACACCGCACACCCCAGCAAAACCTATTACGAGAGGGAAATAGCGTGGTGAGGAAGGGACTGCTATGCCCAGTGGCCCAAATGGCAACAGCAACACAGGCTCTCAGACAAATCGGGAGGTCGCCAGGAAGCCCCCGGGGGTCATGTACCAAAGGGTCCCGTGGGGCCAGCTTCATGCAAGGCTTACAGGGTCTCCTGTACCCCCACTTTTCACTGCTGCTTCTCCCATATATGTGCTGCCCAGCCTAAAGTCTCACCGTTAACACTGCATTTCTTAGGGTAAAGTATCACCTTTCCTAGAAGCTGCTCAGGAGGCAACTCTTTAGATTCCTAAGGCTTCATTGAAGTTGATCATAGAAAGGCTTATCAATTCCCTATCCCGCCTCCTAACACTCCGGAAAAGATCACATTTAGAAAGACACCAACTGGTTTAGCTACCCATGTGCTATGTGAATGCCAGGTAGAAAGAGGTTAAAAGAGAGTGGTGCTAAACGGTTAACTGAGGCCAGACCGGGAAGGCCTTAGACCTACTAACAGACAAGTCTCACAATTGCTTCTCTTATCTCCTTCTAAATCCTGAGGCCACCGAGGCTGAGGGCCCAGCACTGGCTTCAGAGCTCTCATCAGCACACAGCAATCTTCCAGAGACAAAACCATGACAACAGCCTTTAAAAATCCGTGATCATCTGCATGTCAAATGATTCTGGATGAGAAATCCTTGTGCACTTAAAATAAAAGCAATGCCAGCTTACAAACAGGCCCTGGACCTCTGGATCCCTGGGAAATTACGATTCATAAAAGTAGCAAAATTACAGTTATGAAGTAGCAACGAAAATAATTTATGGTTGGGGTCACAACATGAGGAACTGTATTTAAAGGGCCAGAAGGTTGAGAACCACTGCTGTAGGGTTTTCTGTGCACTGTAGGGTTTTTAGCAGCATCCCTGGCCTCCACCTACTGGAAACCTGTCATTCATATTGTAAGGAACCTGGGAAGATTACTAAGTAATTGTTGTATAAATTATTAATCTAGGTAAGTGGGATGATTTGACTCCAAAAGAGGGTTTTTCCCATTTCTGTTCATTTTTTCCTCCCCCAAATCAACTGATAGTGGGGAAGGAGAATGAATTCTGAAAGTCAGGGCTGCATATGGCAGGAGTTCTAGAAACAATCAGCTAGCCTGCATCTCAGTCCAAAGCCGCACAGAGCAACAAGGTCACTCAGTGGTCATGTTTATGTGCCAAATAAGGATAGAAAGAGATATAAAAACAAACAGAAATAAACTAAGTTCACTGCTTAGGAGGCTCAGTTGGTCCAAGGCCTCTTACCTCAAATAACTAGCATAGCAGTGCCTAGCACATAGTAGGCGCTCAATAAATGTTTAGCCAAAAGAATCTCTCTGGCCTCCCTGTATTTATTTTTCATAGTGGAGTGTCCCCCTAGCCGCTGACCTGGTCCTGCCCCAGTGTGGACAGCATCTATGGGAGTGACCGTGGTGGATGAAGTGTTGACATACTAGTGGGAGGTGGGTGGGCAGCAGCCACGCCCTTTGAGAGCTAGACCAACCACAGCTGCCTTGGTGGGTCTCTGGCTGTGGCCCCTCTCCACAGCCAGCAGGCCGGCAGCAGGTTCTGAACTTCCGGGTCACTCTGGCCTACTCAGCAGCTACAACTCTCACCATCTCTGGGGTAGGTGGTTATGAAAGGGTTCCCAGCTACTGCCTACTTCCTCTAGCAGATAGGCCAAGTGTCAGAGTCTTGATAGTTACAGGAAAAAGTAGCTGATCTTCCCCTTCCCCACACTCATCAGCAAACATGCAGCCATAGGCTTCTCCTCCGTGGGAACTTCTCCCCGGGCCTGGTTGGAGCCCAGCGTCCTCTCGTTATGATCTGCCAGGATTTCAGGTAGCTGTGCCCAGTTCAAGGCTTGGTATCCAGGCTACCAGGTGACCACAGTGTCATCAGAGTAAGTTCCCGCTCTGACTTCCACCCCTCTGAAAGCGGTTTCTGCCTCCTTCACCCGTCTTCCAACACCACAAACAGGGCCCTCGGAACAGCTACACAGACATGGAATGTTCTGGAGGCCTGGGTTCGGCATCCAGGCTCTCTCCTGGGCTTGACCTCAATGCAGAGGCCTCAGGCACAGTTTGAACTTTAGTGCCCCATGAGACGAGACAAGACTGTACCGGGCTGGGGCCGGCAGAGGAGGGGCGGTCTCCCACCCGAGTGCGGCCCTGTCCTCGGGTCTGGGATTTGTGTGGGTTGGCGAGAGCTGAGGGTGGAAAAGTATGCAAACTGCATCCCTCCTGGCCCTTCTGGCTGTACCCGTGCCATCACCTGCTGCAGCAGCATTCCCCTCCCCGTCTCCCTGAAGAGTGGAAGCAGGGACTAAGCCTTGCCCATCTCTACACATGCCACCGAACGGCTTGGATACTCTGGTGAGTCAAAGAATGAACAGGAAAACTGTCCACTACATGATTTTTTCTCACAATGATTTTTTTTTTTTAATTGAGGGTGGTGATAGCAAGAGGGGAAGTCCTGGAAATAGAAAGTGGGCCGGAGAGGACCACTCTTAACATGATAATAACGGCTGACATCCGCAGCTGCAGCTCCTCCAAGCGTCACGTGTGTGTGAACTCACAATCACCCTAACAGGAAGGCACTCACTAAAATCTCCATTTTTCAGACGGGGAAACTGACGCTCGGCAATTAAGCAACTTCACTAAATGACTTCCTACCAAGAAACCAAATTTCCACATTTCGAGGGAGCTTAGAGAAGTATTTTTGAAAGAAAAACTACCCTCAGGGTTAATAATCGACAACATTTCTGATTAGAGCAGCTGTTCAAACAGCATTTTATCCAACGCAAACAACAGTTCCAAGAAGGAAGAAAACAAAATCAAGATGTGTGACTTCAACGATCGGGAGGGTTACCAACCACAAACTGGAGGGAGAGCATCGGCTGGAAAACCCTTTTGGCAGCTCAGGGCACTGTTATCACCAAGGCCACGGCCCTCCATCCTGCCCTCCATCTCCGTCCCACCAAGCCACTGCCTTTGAGTCGGAGCCTCAGATGTGAAGCGGAGGAGAGTGCCTGCGGCAGAAAGACTGCTTCCTTTGGAAAAAGGTGTGTGGGGAGCCTGATGCTGCCTTTGAAAGTTTCTTTTCAAGTACGGTTCAAAGAAGGCGGCTTTGCTGGTAGAAACAGTGCTGCTCGGAAGGAACTAATCTACTAGACGCAGGCACTTCAGAGAAACGTGCACGGAGATCCCGAGAAGTTCTGGATCTGAGCTCCCAACTGGGCTCTTGGAATAACATCTGCCCTGTGTCTCTGTCGAGATTGTTAGTCAAATAAACGAGGAAGCAAGATAGTGGGGGGCAAGTGTAATTTCCCAAAGAGCAATCTGCTCAGTGCGCCCTAGGAGCTCCCATCTGCCCCATCATCTCCTCATTAAAGCAGGACCTCTAAGCATCTTGCTGTAAACTGAGGGCACTTGAGCATTTTAAAGCATATTTCTCTCCCAATACGCTAGCGTCTACTTTGCTGCTGCTTACCACCCCTGGGCCTCTGACCCAGGACACTAAATGAAGGGAGATGGAATGTGCTGGTGGTCCTCACCCCAGCAACCTGTGACCCCTGGCCTCGGCACGGAGCCAGGCTTTGGCCTTTTTTTTTTTTTTTAATTTAGCTGATTGTTCAAGGCACAGCTGACAGGCACCGACAGGCCCTTCCATGGGACGGTCTCTCCACTATTTAGTCTTAAGCTGCCAGGCATTTGTACCAGGCAGCTCTTGAGAAGGCACCCTTCTTTTTAACCTCAGTCAAATAAAAACAAGGAGAGGGAGCAACCTACCACTTTAAAGAGCATGGTATGACCCAAGGGCACACAGAAATGACCTGATTTCTTTTCCCAGCTCTGCCTCCATCGAGCTGTGTGGCTTTGGGCAAATCACTTCCCTCCACTGTGCTTCAATTCTGTTGTCTGTAAAACGGAGGGTGAATTGGATAACTTATAAGATCCAGGAGCCACCACTTACTGGTAGAATTTAGAATCTTAAACACTCCTGAATTGCTCTGTGACATGTCACTTTCTCCATAAAGCTCAGTAAGACAGTGCACGGGCTGAGTTTGAAGGATGAGCAAAGAAGCAAGCCACCTCGAGAGGCGGATGGGTGCTGGGTGCTGGGCTAGGCGGGGGCTCAGTCCCAAGAACCAGTCTTCATAGGAGGAACCATTCAAATGTGACCATCAGGGGAACTGCCGGAGCACTGAGGCC